ATACAACCAAGGACATATTTTAGATTTAATTAGAGGTCATACAGGTAACTAATCTGTGTCTTGGGAGTCATTCCCAGTTGATGTGTCTCCGGTGATTGAGTAGCCAGGTGTCGTCCTGCGCCCGGGACTAAAGAGGGAAGATCTCATTTCTCAGGTGCATCCCAACACTGAAAAATGTAAGTTAGCAAAGACAATCCTCTCTGTAATCTATTGTTGTGAATTCCACAAAGCACGTTGAACATTGCTGGAAAGTAAACGCTGACCTTAAACTGTGGACAGAATGTGGAGATAATGAGAGCAGAACCTCTACCTGACCTCGACAGGTGGGCCTTATTCTGTCGCACATAAGTATAAAGCCTCGAGTACCAGCACAGGTTACTGCCAGCTGAGTGGTGCATTTCCTTATATTAGTATTAGAATCACTGCTTTCCAGAGCACAGGGATCCATCAAATAATAAACACTATTACGACAATAACAATGAACTGCTGAGACACACTTCAGCAAAACAGCCGCTGCAATTTTGTTTGGACAGTATGTTTAGCTTAAGAGAATGGTGTAAGCTGAAATGAAATGCAAAGCCATTCAACAGCTTAAGAAGAGAAAGTCTATTTTTTTACAATAACATGGAAGAAAACGGCCCAAAAGACCCCTAATTGCGGAATAAGTAAACAACAGTTTCAGGCTGCGTGCTTTGTTATTTACATCTTCGATCTGTGGTTTGAAAGTAAACTCAAGAGTTTCGGGTATTTAAAAGCCTTCGACATGTAAAATAAACTAAACAGACACTCGGCATGTTGAGTAAGAATACTGGAAATAGACTGTGATTTGAGGACTTAACATTCATTCCTTTGTTAGTGTGACTTTGGGTCTTCAACTACACATAAAACGCGAGCCATGCTAAATGAAATGCTTAAAATAGCTACGCCCGCTGCTTTGAAGAGAAAACTAAGTATTTGCTATTAAGAGTAAACAAAGTCACGCAAAATCAAACCTTTTGACATTATAAATTGTAAAAAACAAATTGTAAAGGAAGATTTGAGAGGATTTAATGCATCTGATCGGGACAAGACGTTTGTTGTTTTGTTTCACAGATGACTACATGATTTGTGCATAACGCAACATCAAAGCAACAATCCTCAACAGTTGCACGTCAGGACGGAGCTGCTCAATTGTTTGGCGTGAAAGGAACATCACGTCTGTGTGTATGTTTGTGTTGTCTACATGATTATATGCATCGAGCCAGTGTCTCATACAGCCGGCGGCTAGCAGGAGTTTGCCACGATAACCGCGGGTCCTGTGCATTGTTATATACGTGTACATAACTGTGTGTGTGTGCGCATAAAAGCTTTGTTTTGCCAACGAACCTGTAGTGTATGTGACTGTGTGTCCCCGTAAATGTTCTGTAAGCAATATGATGCAAACAACCAGCAATTCCACCCACTCAGCCTGCATTAATATACAAAGATACAATTTTAAATTGACTACTTTCACGCAGTGTCTTTATTTTATTTCCCTTCATGCTAACTAAAAGACACACACAAGCTAGATGGATGAACTGTTTCAAAACAGAGTTGTGAGGACGGAGGAGCAAGAGGTAAAAGGAAGAGAGGTAGTACATAATGAAATAATGACCCAGGACACAAAAACAAAGAAGGCGGCAATGGAGGGAAAGAAAAACAGAGCCACACGGGGGAAACCGTGAATACAAGCCCCAGAGAAAAAGAAAATGAAATTTCACTTCCACTTTCATCTTTTCTTGTTTTTCTGTCAATTTGTGGTCATGGAAGCACTTTGTTCACTACTCGTATTCCTTGCCTCGCTCGCTCCTTTTTCTATTCCGTCTTTCATACCGACTCTCAATTTGCTGTCTTGTGAAAGGAGCAGAGCCGTTATCTTCCCCTTTCCCGTTCCGTCTCCTTGAGAAAGTATGCCGTGAAAAGAACTGATTATTGGGTGGCACTCAAGCTGCTTCTCTGTCTGCTGATCTCTCCCGTCTACCTTGCTCTCTCTCCCTTTCACTCTTGTTTCATTTTTTGGCTTCTCTCACATACAAACCCCCTCGTATTCTATCATTTAATTTCATCTGAGGACGAGGACTGGCGAGGATACTTTCTATTTTTCCTTCCTCCGCCGAGTGCTTTCTTTGCTATTGTGTCCCCCTAAAAGACTCATTACTGTCCCCGGAGTGCTGTTGCTGTGCATAAAGGGCCGACAGCCCGAGAGGTAGAGAGCGAGTAAGAAAGAGATGTCATTCATGTCAATAAAAGCAAATTCCTCTCACTCTGAAACCGTGGCCTTGTTTCATGGAGTGGAATGGCCAAAACGCCGAGGCCTTTTAATGAACACGCCGTTCTGAACAAAGGAATGATCTCAGGCTGCACGCGGACAAAGAGCGGTGTGCCATTAGATCACTATGAATCCATCCTCTCTACGCATCCAGCAATCCATCATTTCTGTACCTGTCGATATATTCACACACCCATGCATCTATTCATCGGCTCATCCATCAGCCGTCTAAGCCGTCGCGTCTCACATATACATTCCAATATATCTGTGCACTTTCAACTCCGTCCTTCCACAATCATCCACCCAAGAGCTCACATGTCACTCTTCTATACATCCATCCATCTATCTATCCATCCATCCGGCAGTATTGCTTCATTCCCACACACATCAGTATGGATGCTGGATGGTGTGCAATCATCTCTCTCTCTCGCTTTCTCTCTCCCCAACTCAGAAATGATAGATCTCTCACTTTGTTCCTTTTTTTTTTTTCGACAGATGGATATTATAGACCTTAGTGGGTTCCTCTGCCTATCCAATCACCCACTTATCTGCCACTCTGGCATCCTCACTTTCTCTTACGACGCTTCTCTGCATCTCAGACGAAACGACAGGGCTCAGACCCTGTTCTTCCATCAGCTACTCAGCCACCACGCACCCCTCGCTCTCTCCTGGCCCCTTATTCTTCTGTTTTTTCTCTCGCTCTCTGGCAAATGCCTGTAATTATAGACTCTGCTGCAAGACCCGGGGGTGAGCATCTTTCTGCCTTTTCCTAATCATCCATTCATCGCACATACACATTGAGCTCAGTGTGTGGCGGCCTCACGCAGAGACCCTGAAAAATATATGGTCTTCAATGTGTATAGGCTGGCCGGCCAGCCACCAGTGTGTGTGTATGTGTGTGTGTGCGCGCGCGTGCGCACGTGGGTATGCTAGTGCGGGATCCAACTAAATACAATTGCGTCCGTGCATATTTTCAAACCTGTTCACTTATAATAATAATGATAATAATAAAACATACAGATTCTGGACACACGGCTGTCAAGGACATCACATGAACCAGATGGCTGTACAATAAGTGTGTCTCTGTGTGTGTTGCAAATACTGATGTGTTTCCAAGCCATTAGGTCACTTATCTATTAGCGCTGTGCTCCACTGCCTCTCCGGTGTCATTAAAAGCTGAGGATGGTGGTCAAGGACTATGGATTACAAATCATCAGCAGCATCACAGGAGATCACTTAATTTAATAATATGTTAATTGCCAATATGCAGAGACAAGCACTCATTATATTTCACAAATCCTGATACACCTCAGTATTTCAACACACACTGCTCTGCCACTCAACCTCGCCTACACGGGGTGTTAAACTGACAGAGTGAATGTATGTCCTATTCAGCTATTGGAGTTATGAAAAAATAAATAAAGTTATTCTAGATATCCACATGAATTCTCTTCTCTATCTCACCCCCGTTTTGCTTTTGATGCATGGACAATGCAAGTGTGTATTGGATGGGCTGCAGAACTTATGAAGCAAGGTCTGGTACCCGCAGCTGAACTTTTGCTGAGTGACATACCGCTGGGCTTGTTGTGAAACCTTTGTTTTTATCTAATTTTCTGCCTCCAAATCTCTCTCTCCCTCTCCCCCCACCCTCTCCCTCTCGCTCCCTCTCCCCCTCCCTGTCTGTCTGTCTGGCAGTAAAAGCTGATGGAGTGTGAAAATAGAAAGTGTATCATATTCTGCTCTGTGGCTCCATGTCCTGAGCTATAAGCTACAGCTAGTCAGAGTGAAAAATAACATGCAGTGAAACAGATACATTAACATGGTGTGTATCTGCCTGTGTGTGTGTGTGTGTGTGTGTGTGTGTGTGTGTGTGTGTGTGTGTGTGTGTGTGTGTGTGTGTGTTGGAATGGAATTGAAGGCAAAAGACAGTTTGGCCAGCCAAAGCTTATCTTAAATTACTTATCTCATGCCTGATACACTGCAGCTTTTCCACAAACTGTTGCAAGAATGGATTAAAAATGTGGACACACAAACACACCTAAATAATTTATAACTGAACAAAATTTGAATAGCTTGTAAATAAAAGAAGGGCCCTCTCATCCCCTGAAAAAGACAAAACATCCAGTGGACCATTGTAGGCTCATACACACACTATATGGCTAACTGATTTAAAGTCAAATAAATATAGTAAACAAATTACAACCCGTAGAATTTAAGTGAAAACGCTATCCTCCTTGGGGACTGGTTAATTTTTTTTAAACAATTTACTGAAAAATGCCTTTCTTTTAGTAATGTAATCTTAGATTGATTAATAATAATTTGCAGCTGAATCAAATTGCATTGCACAGACTTTAAAAAGAAAGGCTATTGTGTATCGACAGAGTGATTTGTCTCTGCATTTGACTGTTGATCATACATCAAGAGGTCAGGTCCTTGGCCAGAAACAGGGATTTATTTGTGGACAGAATCTGTCACGACTGAACCGCATCCATGTAAGACGCCGTCAGGAAACCTGATATCCGTGTTCTTAACTGCACACCAGAGTTTGATGATCGTTTTTGTCCAAGCAAGAGCAATAAAGTCAGGGTTAGCCAACTGTTTGCCACAAAATAAAAGTTTACTTTATTTAATATTTTGAGGTACTTCCATGAAGCAATGCCATCTGTTTGTGCACATTTATTTTGATGTTGTTTAGATTTGTGTGTGTGTTTACCTGCATCAAGCCAGACACCTCTCCCTTCTGAAGCGGTTTGGCGATGGACGCAGTGAAGGGCTTACTGTCTTCTACTGGTCGGCCTTTCAGGAAGTGCTTTCCTGCCTCGTAGATGTCCACCTCAATCATCTTCCCTTTGAACTCTGCCCTCTTGGGCACCAGCACCTGCAAACCAAGAACCACACATTGTACCTGATGTCACCGTAAATGTGAACAAACCTGAAAAACAACAGCCAGGAGTCATTGATCAACCTTTGGGATTCCGCTCACTGTAGTGACTGTAACTGTACCTTAGTGACCAGAGGTGACACACATCCAGTAACTTGCTCTATCACATGTCATTCTACTAGAAAAAGGCACAGCTTTAATACAATCCATTTACAAAGAATAATCAACCCACTGCATTTTGAATACATATTCAATTAACCGCTGCTCTTAATTGGTTTTCCCAATGCGCTCCCATGTTGTTATTCAGCCAGTTCCTGCCCGCTTACAAAAACCCCAGGGCTGTGTTTTTAGTTCCATTTATTGAAGCCCTCAAGGTCAAAAACTATGGCAACAGCTGGGAGATGAACCATTTCTCTTATTATTTCACCATGGCAACTATACATCTCGACAGGAAGGAAAACAGAATAAAGAGGTATAATCACAGCCTTGGTTAAATGGAATTTGTTCTTAATGGCTTACCTCAGTAAATAGATCAAATGGAAATGCTTTTCGTTCAAACAAACATCACAGTTGACAGATTGGCAATGATGTATGCTGTTCACAGCTCAGAGCCATGATTTACTTATTTCTGCGAGGTCTTCCTTTAGAATCATCTCCCGTAAATATGAGAGGATTTAAAACAGTAAGCAGCAACTAAAGTAAAGGTTTTCTTCGACAACATCTTGTGATTTATTTCATTTCCCAAATGAATGTCTTTTTAAATCATTAAACAAATAAAAGACTGATAGCGTAATAATTGAAAAAATGATGGGGTCATTTATGAAAAACCTAAGTTCAGGCGGAGGCGTTGCTGAAGGTTCTTTGTCTGTTCACTACAGCAGGGATGTTACATGCTGACTCAGATCATGTGGCGGCGTGTCTGCGGCGCTGCAGGGCTGAGACGCTGGCCGCGCAGAGAAGAGCTTGTAAACTGGTGGACGGCGTGTTACTGCTGTGATGGCAGGAGGAAGCCGGGCTCAGTGTTAATCTGTCAGTCTTTATCCAGCTGGTGGAATATGATCGCACACACACACACACACACACACACACACACACACACACACACAGTGGCCAGAGTGTCGAGCAGCCGGTTTGTTGATTAGGCAGGTGTGGCACTGGCTGTGTGTGTGTGTGTGTGTGTGTGTGTTTAGGTAGAATGCAACCAGCCAAAGAGGTAAAACAGCAGAGCTGTGGAGGAAGAAAGTGTGTGTGCTTGCGTGTGCGTGTGTGTGTGCGCGCATGCGTGTAGGTGAGGGTCATTTGAGGCCCATTACAGGGTGATTAAATGATGAAAGACCTTGTCCGATTTCATTGGAGCCCCCCCTCTGACTTCCTCGCTGAACCACGAACACACACACACACACACACACACACACACACACACACACAGGTAGGTTGTGTGCCTATTATACCCGTCAGGACAGATATCCGTCTGATGGTGTAAAAGTGAAACTGGGCCATTTGTTCACAGTCACACCTCTCTACCTTGTTCCCCACCTCCCTTCACTCACCCACGCCGCCCGCTCCCCACCTTCTTTGCTCCCTTGTCTCACAACTGCTTTCATTTCTTTCCTGATCTTTGACTTCCACTTGTTACTCCCCTCCATGTAAATCTCTGTTATATATATATATATATATATATATTCTTATTTTTACTAACCTATTTATCTTTGTGTTGCTGTGACATCTGGACATGCCCTTTAAGGATCAATTAAGTCTTTTCTTTCTTTCTCTTAGTTCTTCCTTTTCTACCAAGTCTGTGGGAGGCCGTCCTCCACAGCGATAGACATCGATGATTGACCTTTAACGTCCACGTTACATTACAGCGCCGGAGAATAATCACGATATGCGTTGTGAGTCAGCCCTCACGTGTATGTGCCTTATACGTCTGTGTGGATGTAGACATACGGTATACATGGTTAGGGGTGGACTCCTTGGGGGGACAGGTTCAAGAACATATTGGTACAAAGTTTTTTCATGTTCGTTTTTTTCAAGTCAAGAGTGTGATTTAGGAGTGCGTGCTAAATACTTAATGCCCCCCCCAAACATCAAACAAGTCAACGTGTCTTCCTCTGGAGTAAAGTCAATGGAAACACGTGACACACACGCCTGCAGATGCATAAATGCACGTCACAACACACGCATGAACCGAGTGACACTTGTAACTTAGGTTTATAGCCTGCAGAAGGAGGAGCAAGGGAGGAGGAGAGGAGGGGAGGAAAAATTATTACCATCCGCTTCCCTCCCTGCTAATAAAAAGCATAACTTCAAACATGTTTCTGATGATGGTTAAAGCAGGAAGAAATTGATTTATTTGAAGATGTTTTAAAGTGAATTTTTCACAGGTTGAGAGAGGGTCTTTGAAGCCACACGGATGTGTGTGTGTGTGTGTGTGAACCGCTACATGTGTGTGTGTAGGATGGAATGCACATGTCTTTAGGGCTGACCTTAATGTTAGTAATGTTAAAAAAAGAGCAAAAAGTTCTGCTGCTATCAGCAGCCAAACGCTCTCATGACCACCGCAGGGTGTGTGTGTATTTTTGAGCATGTGTGGTGTTAAAGCTAACCTACTTCAGTCAATACGAGCTTAAGCTTCTGACACCTGCTGTGACATGCAAAGCAAAGCTTATGACCTGATTTACTAAATTTGAAAATGAGGGAGGGTTGGATTAGCTTCACATACGGGAACGTTTTCATCAAACACAGATTCATGTACTGCTTTTCACAATATGTGTTTGATGATAAGAGTTTGTAGACCAACTGAACTATATTTGGATTCATCATTCGAAGTGTCAACAAACATCCAGCTTCCTCAATTGTCCTTCAGCTGATTTTAAAATCTGTGCCAGCCGGAGCAACTTAGTCTGATCCATGAAAGTCAGATAAAAATTATATTGATTTTTAGCTATAATTATCTATAGTATAGATAATTATATAGTTGTATAGTATTTGCTGAAACATTGACTGTACAATAGTATTTTCTCTTTGGGTGGTTTAAATATGTTCAATACATATTCAGTGAATTCTAAATGACTGACATGCTATGTATGACATGAAAATGGTACTAGTGAAAGACATATGTCCACTAGAATATGCGTCCAAGTCATTTATTACAGTTCATTTACAACAACTGTCTTACCTGTTCGTAGAACTTGTTGTGAGACACATAGTATTGAGCATCAAATGATTCCTCCGTCACCAGCACATGTTGCCTCTCCCCCACCTACACAGAGCGAGAAAGGGACAGAAAACACACAAATTATTGACTCGGGACATCAGCCTTTATATGCAGCATTTGTGCAAATGTCTTTTCATCGATGGACGTGCCATCAATGTGTGTGTACTTGTCCTCAGCCATATGCCAAAAACGGATCTGCTCACTTCATCTACTGGCACATATTGCTGCTGGTATGATTTTACCATATTGAAGAGAAAAGACAAAATACCCAATGAATAAAGTACATTTACAAACACGGCTCTACTACGTTTGTTATACAGGCCAAAGTTTCTTGTTTGGTTTTAAAGCTGCTTCTGTAGAATAGTTACATGCAATAATAACAATATGCTTCCATTCATCAAGATCCCAATTGAATCAAAGTTTTCCACTTTCATGATTTTTTGTGTTTAGTGCAGTTCATCATTCAATTTTAATCTCAAGGTTCCAGAGACACTTTCGTTTTAGCGCTTTTGTTGAGAGGATAGTGAATATTATTAAACAGAGTTCCTTACAAAAAAGAAAACTGAAAAAAACAGGGCTATACGGGATACAACTCAAAGAGAACAGACTATTCAGGAAATCAAATACTAGATGTCCTTCCAATAAATACATTCGGTACGGAACACAATGAAGAATTTTGTTGACTGAAAGGTGGAGAGAGAACTAAAGCCACCTAAGAATTGACTTCAACACAAATTAAAATGTCTATTTTTTATTTCTCCCACAGCAAAAGGTATCTTGACAATTCATCTTTGACAAATATATGTGGATGGACAAAGTCAATACTTCTTAACATGGTCTAATGCATCCTGACATGCCTGCACTCATTTCGGATGTATTTGGCACATTAAAACCAGCGGAAACTAGCGCTCTAAGTGTTACACGTTGCATTTATTTTGTCACGGCATCCTGGCTCATAAAAATAAAAATAATCTCTTCATGGGAGGAAGCCCCATGGAAAGTGTATCCCAGTCATCAATCCAAAGACATAAACCACCTGGGTTTTAAATAGCTGCAACATGGAGTTGCAAGCGTTGGGTACGGGCTTCAATAGGAAGTATTTGCATTTTGACTGTCTGTGATGAGCCCTGTACTGTAAAACTGTGCTGACTGATCATGTCCGGGGCAATATGTCAGAGCCGTAAAACCCCGGCTGTGACTAGTTGCTCAGGGTGTTTCCATTTCTGCAGACAACCAACTTCTGTGCACTTTGCTTTCCTCCTGCCCGTCCGTATCAGTTTGCTTCCATCCTTCTCTCCTATCTCGGGGCATTTTCTTTGTTCTCGTCCTTCCAACGTAATTCCTTCTCATCCTTTCCGTTTTGTGTGTGTGTGTGTGTGTGTGTGTGTGAGTGACTGTTCCAACAGGCGCCACCTGCACAGGCACGCTGACAGACTTAAAAAGAGACCAAATAAATCACTGTTTCCTGCAAACAGAGCAATTTTCAGAAAAAGAGGGTGGAAAAAAAATAGCCTTTGAACATTATTATTGGAGTGCGATCATTTGATTTTGTTTGCTCCTTTGAATTGGCGACAGATGCCTCTGGTGAGAGCATAAAATCAAGACATGAATGAAGACATTTTTTCAACCTATCAACATTATATCATTATGTTTTTTTGTTTTTTTTTAGGATTTTTTTATTTTTTCTAGAATATCGTCCCAAATTCAGTTTAGCAAACAGAGCAGTCCTCCTTTAAATATAGGCTGGTGAGCGTGAGTCATTTATCTCTTCATCCTAACAAAACCTCGTTTCATGTATTTTGTATTAAGGGAGCTCTGGATGAACTGAAGGCTGGATGTGTACGATGTGAATCTGTACGGATCCGCCCGACTTAATCAAACCTAATCCACAGCTAAACTACCAGCAAGGAGCAATGATTCAGGATTACAGTGTCCCCTAATATGTTGATTAACCATGAAATAAGAGGATCATGCATGAACACACAAGCACACAACAATAACTACGACAATGTGAGTGAAAAGTTGTGGACCGTATTTGGGCTGTGTGCGTATTTGCATGCAGCGTACGTGTTGGCTTTGCTCGCATATCCGGGTGTGAGAGTCTGCATTTAAATGTGTATTTCCTTGAGTTTTGAAAAATATCACAGAATACACAGCGAGACGTTTATTTACTTTGTCGTTCAAAGAATAACATCCCGTGATACACAGCAGATCCCCTACAGATTTGTGAGTTTAATTGATCATTAATCCACATCATAAAAAGGATAATGAGAGAACTGTGAATTTTAATTTTATACAACATTTTCATCCGCGTCACAAATAAAGGAGCAATTCACTCAAACATTGTTTAAATGCGCCATCCGTGCCCTTTTTTTCTATTTTTTAACCATGGAACTGTGAGACTGTTGCATGGGATTATAATAAGGAGTGAATAGTGACTGTCAAAGGAAGCAAACAACAAATTAAGACTAAAAATATGCTGATTACGCACATGCGAATCAATATGTGAATACTGAACAAAGACGGTAAAGGTGGTATATTTAAACATTGCAGAAAATACTCGCTGAATTCAGAAGCACCGTAGGCCTATTTTCTTTATCCACAACATGGAGCATCACGTAGGGGTGAGATATTCCGTATAGCATTAGTATATAACATGACTTATAGGGAATTGCCGGCTTACAAAACACAGAGCTAGACTCCGTCCTCCCGGTCATCGTACATCTCTTAACGACACAAATCTGTTTGTGTCTTTGTGTATTTATTAAACTCATTATTCACGGCCATCATTCCTGTCATTCCACACGCACACTTTCACTCGACTGTATCATGAAAACACACGCGCACACACACACACACACACACACACGCACGCACGCACGCACGCACGCACACACACAAAAGGACAGTGACAAGACCTTCTTGATTAAAAATCACATCAAGCATTAAGCAGCACGGGCGCACAAACACACACACACACACATAAATAAATACACATTTGCACACACATCCGTCTGTAGCTCTGGTAGATTTTGTTTTGTCGTCTGCTAAACAATCGTCCCAGGGAGTGATTGTACGGGGCCAAAGAGCTACTCTGTTCTTTTGCAGGTTCCCTTTGATGAAGCTTCTTGAAAGAGGAAGAAAAAACACTGCTATTTATTTGTGTATTTAGTTTTACCCTCAAAGACAAAAGTAAAAAAGGCTGAAACTTTGGGTTGTTTGCCACAACGACTGATGGGATGGAGGGTTTAATGTTTAATGGACGAATGCAAAATCAACACCGATCAAAGTTACACAAAGTTACACAAAGGAATTGTTTGGTACAAACCCTAAGGATAAATATATTAACGAAATGAGAAAGACAAAGTGAGTGAAGCTGACGTATAGAAAGGTTGTCCAGACGGATTTGTAGAAGGTTGATTAAGATACAAACTGATGATGTTGAAGCGAATAGTAACAATGATCTAATCCAATAACTCTTTAAATACTTTGTCCGCTGCAAAGCGACGTGATCAATGATCTCATGTGCTCACTCCCTCGCTCGCACACGCACACGCACACACACACACCTTGCTTATCTTTTTCAAACTCTGAAGGGACTTTTTCCAGTTTAAAATCAGATTCCTCCTCTGACGTTTACCTCATGTGCTAATTAATGTGGTTTGGTAAATCTGAAACATTAACAAGTTGATTGGACAGGTAAAAACAAAAAGAAGGATGTAGTGATATGAACTAGAAAAATCTACTACACTGCAAATGTCAGTGCTAAGAGAACGTAAACAGTAAAAATAATCAATTTGGCAAGTTCTTCAGATTTGCAGATCGTGAACTGAAACACTGCTATTGAGCTTAAACTAGAGTCATAAAGTGGTCTTTGAAAGGCAGATGGCATCTTTATCTAAACACCTCAGATGGTGGGTGACAGACAGCACATTAAAAGATGATTCATTTAACCAGCTACAATCGATCCAGCGACCTCAAACCAAATGTAAGTGTATTTATGGGTGTATGTATGTGCACACTTCTTGTGCAAATGTGACATTAAAATGTGGAAAAACTCAAACACATTTCAAACCCATTCTACAGAACTTTCCTGTTTTTGTGTATTTTCTAAAAATCTCTTGACCTTGTTTCTAACAAAGCACCGTGTACACAAGTCCACAGTGCTGCAGTCTTCCACAACTCCTCCTTGACCTTACGGAGGGTCGAAACGAGTTCACAATTCACACTACCGCAGCCACATTTTTCAAGGCTTTTTAATATTTGCTCAAGAGATTTAATCTGGACTGTATTATCATGATTTGACCGCAACTTTGAACGGTAAGAATTTAGCAGCAGTCCAAATGACTATTTCAGACAAAAGTTGAAAAGAGATTTAAAAAATTCACGAACATATTATAAATTGTTCCGCGCAACATGGCCTCTAACCCAAATCCCATTCAAAAGACCCACTGACTTGGTGATGAGGGAACCTAATGCGCTGATGTACGGGTTTTAGGACTCATCCCTAGAGCATCAGTTCTCGCTCCTGTGTGTATGTTTGTGTTTGACAGAGAGTGAAGAGAGAAACTCCAACGAACAAAGCCCTGCCTTTGGGTTTCATGAATATCGGGCTGTCCATCAATTGCAAATCTCCCTGTAGAGTCTGAGCGCCAGAGACTTGGAAGATGATATCATCACATATCATTTATTCATAATAAACATTTATCTTTCGTTACCTGACTCGTCTTTCCTGATCCGACTGTTTGCAGTAGGGTTTTTCCAATGTTGAGTGCAGGTTTGTTTTACAGTGGCAGCTCCGGTTACACATTTCCAAACCTTCTCATGCATATGTTGATTAAAACCTAAAACTTCACCCCAAAAGACAATACAGTACATATTGTTTGTTTGTTATCTATCCACGCATCTAACTCATGTTCTGATATATCAGGTTTACAATCCCTTTTCTGAAATGAAAAAGTGGGAAAGTCGGCAATACGCTCATTCTGGATTTAATTTACAGATCCAATATCCACATGCTGCATACACTAGATAAAAGATGGATA